AGAGAGAGAGAGAGAATGACCACAGTTTCAGTGCAGAAGGCTTAGAAAAATACATACCACAGACATTTTTCGGTCTGTATATTTTCTTTTTCTTTATTTTTAAATTTTTAAAACACTTAGCAGTACTGTTTGAAGCACATAGTGTTGATGTATCTTATGTGGTTAGTAAGTACACAAACACATCTTGGCTCTTGTCTTCTCCCCTTTCCTGTTCCTCCATCCTCCTTCTCTATTTCTCGATACCCTTCTTATCAAGAAAGGCCTACCTCTCTACTTCCTATTATTTATGTTTCATGTTGCTCTTTATTTATAATTTGGGTTTCTCATGTAAGAGAAACCGTGCAATATTTAAGCTTGTGTGTCTGATTTATTTCACTTAACACTATTATCTCAAGGTATGCCCATTTTCCTACAAATATATGTCTGTATATTTTCTTCAATATAATCTTAGGGTTGACTTTTTCCTTTATTATATAACTAAGTCATAAGAGCTTATGTTATTTCCAGCTTTTTATCACTATAAATAATGCTGTGATGTATAGTACCTACATATGTCCCTTCTCAGGCATTTCTATGGTAATTTCCTTCATAGTGAAATGCTATGTCTGACTAGAGATCCCCTTTGGACAGGTGTATATCTTCACAGGTAACCTGCCTTGAAAGAGTGCATGACATCTGTCCTCCTTTCTGTGACATTTACTCTGCAGCCCAGTTAAGTCTGGCTTTTTTTTTTCTTTTTTTAATTGGTGGAACCGGGGATTGAACTCAGGCCCTTGTGCTTGCCAGGGAAGCGCTTATTCTACTAAGCCATCTTCCTTGCCCTTGAAGTCTGGCTTTGACAGTCATCTCACCACTGAAACTATCTGAAGTTCCCACCAGTGTTCAGCTTCTTTATGGCCCCTTCATTGACCACCCCACTACCACCACCATTGACATATTCTCCTCTTTTGGTTCCACTCATACCACTGTCTCTGGTTTCATTCTTGACTTTGTACAAGCCTAGCCTATCAAACCAGCTTCTCTCCACATTCTGTATGCTACTCATTAAAGGGTCCAGAGTATCTTTGACCCATGTTACAGTGTATTTGATCTTCCATCAACAACATATTGTCTGGCAAGCACAAGGTCTTGAGTTTGATTCCCAGTACCAAAAAAAGAAAAATAGTAACAACAAGCACATTAAACTACCACCTCAAAGCACAGAACTTCAAAGTCTCTTCTCCACTCTAGAAATCTCTTTCCTTAGCCCAGGCCAGTATAGCCAATCAACAAGTAAATATTGTCTTTGAATTTATTATTTCCAGAACTAAAGTTATTTATTTATTTGTATTTAGGACAGGGTGTACAAGGTGTACAGGGTCTCAGTGTACAGATTGGACTCAGAGTGATCTTCCTGTTTACAGCCTCCCAAGTTCTGGGATTAGAGGTGTGCACCACCATGCCCAGTCTCAATCACCATCTCAGTGCACCCCGGGGGCAGAGCCAGCATGGCAGGCCGGGAGATCAAACTCTTGGCCCCTGCATCTGACTAAGAAGGCACTTTAATCCGCTGAGCTATTTGGCCAGCCCTTAAATTATTATCTTCATTCCAAATCTGTTCCTTTGCCTGCACTTCATTCCTCAGTTATGATGACTCTATGATAGTACTCAGCTGTCCAAGCTAGAAATCTGGAAGCCATCTATTATTTGTTCATCAAGTCTTACTCCTTTTCTCCTTAGAAAGTCTGAATTATAAAGGTCATACCTGTGTTACATTCATTATATGGCACGCTATACTTTGAGCTATGATTGGCTGTTCATATTTTTCAGTAACATCTTATCCTATGGTATTTTTGGTCTGCATCATGTCCACACTGGTAAGTGGATTTATATCCCCAAGTCCACAATGCAAAAGTTATTTTTGGTAAGAAAGGACATAAATGAGTCACTTATCTGTTTACATTCAATGAAAATTTGCTGAATTGAGTAAGTGAGTGAGGGACACATCATGCTCTTGGCAGAATCCTGCAGTAGGAAGCATACCTTTGGTTCTTCCCTTTCTTCCCACATCCCACTATTTTTCCAAGGTACTCAGGGCTTTCATGTCGACCAGTCTGTCTTGTGATGTAGAAGAAATGGATAAAAATTTTCACTGTGAGATATATGACAGCTCTCCAAGTAATATCTGTACATAGAAAGGCACAATTTAACCAAAACGAATGACAAGTAGAGAACAATTTGAGATTTGCTAAAGGATATTTGCAACCATCTTCCATTTCCTGCAGACAGCAGAGACAGAATATTCTCTCTTGATCCTTTTCTCCCAGCTGAGTCAGCACAGGCAACACCCACAGTTTAATAAAGAGGCTTACTATGGCTCACAGCTTAAGAAGTCCCTGTCCACTACTAGCAGGCTTAAATCCTTGTAAAGGCCTGCCAGGAAGAAAAGATGCTCACATCATGGCGGCCAGGAAGCAGAAGAGAGGGGAGGAGTCAGGGAGGAGATACGCTCTCCCTGGTCACACCCAGCTCTTTCCAAACAGGTCCTACCTGCACATTTAGCTATGGATTCATCAGGGGATTAATCTTCAGTAAGAACAGAGACCCCATGATCAAATCACCTTCTAAGCCCCAACCTCTGAACACATGACTTCTGGTGGCATCCCAGGCCCTAAACATAACAACTCATGGCCCAATCCTGACTGAATTGATAGACTTGAACAATATGCTACGGTAGGTTTAGGGTCCATCAAGCTCCAAAAGGAAATGACAGTCTCAGCTCACCCTCCTATTTTCTGGCTCAGTGACATGGACTCTCTTATGGTAATTTGTGGCTAGAAGGCCACTCACTAAGGGGTAAGGACAAATGACATTCCCAGGGTTTTAAACAGCTATTCTTGTCCATAGTTTTGTTATATTAATAAACCATATCTCAGACTCAGATACTAGCTTTTTTATTCTATAGTTTAAAGGAGGAGAGAAAGAGAGAGAAAGAAATCTTCAGGCATGATAATTCTGCACACAGTTCTTGCATTAAGTCATTAAAATCCCTCTTCAAAGCTTTGCTGGTACTTAAGTGGATTTAAAAGAAAAGTGAAGGACAGTTTGCATTCGGAGAATTATGTAACATTCCGACAGCTTAGTCCACAGTTTTCTTTTCCATCTCACAGAGGCCCCCAGCTTGATGTGGAGAAAACTGCTCACGGTAACGCTGGTAGGCACAGCAGTCTCCCATTTTTTCAGCCCACAGGACTCCTCATTACATACAGCTAAGATAATGTTCTACATTGGCTCACTGGGCTCTCCCCAGACATCACTGCCTTCGCTCAACGCACTGTTTCACTGGGAGGGATGAAGAAATCCCAGGCTTGGGATCAAGGCAGCAAGAGACTGGTCTTTGAAGTACAGCAGTGCAACATTATTTCATAAACTGTATTTCTCAATGCAAAGATATTTTATCCTGTAGACACAGAAATTCTACTCCACTTTTGAAAGAATCTGCTGAAATGTTTTTTTCTTTTGTTCCTGTAAAGACATTATCATCAAAAATTGAAGTATTGCCACCCAGCTAAACAGTAAGGCTTTATTTCCCTGACACCCACACTTGCCACTGTCGAGTTTTAAATCAGGAATCCCTGGCAAGTGGCATCATTGAAGACTCTGTTTCTGTTATTCCAGCAAGATGTGGCTTGGAGAAGGCAAATACGTGTTTCTGATTGTCCTCTCCCTTCACGTTTCTCCGCAGAAGTCTCTCCTCCAAACAGTACGTCATTTATTAATCTTGTAGCATTTGCTGAGTATCAGCTATGCGTGCAAAGAATTTATGTTTGTTGCCACTGTTCTCACCCTTCACTTCACAGAATTCTCTGCCAAGGTCTTTAAAAATGACAGGGACATCTACTTCCAGCCAAGATGAAAAACAGAAACTAAACTTACCCCCTGGGTGAAACAACTGAAAAAAATACACAGTACACAAGGTAAAAAGGTTATGGAGAGTCTGGACATGAGAAAATTAAGGACAATGATCACACGGCGCTAGCACTAACATTAAGGGAGCTTTATGAGTGTTCCAGCTTCTTAATTGGAAAGACTCTTCAGTGTAAGGATAGGGAAGGAAAAGCTCGGTCATGTCACTGAGGAAACACGGTGGGAAGCCTGATCACATCAAGGTAGCTAGAACTCACAATGCAGAAGAGAAAGAGAGTGTCTTCAGAGAGCGCTGGGGAGGCCATCAGTGGGCCTCTCACTGGCATTCAGAAAACTGACGCCCCATCACATATTCTTCCCAGTAGTAATGCAGGTAACAGAATTAGAGGAAAGGTCATTGACACAGTTTTAACAGGTACAGATGTTTTCAGAATACAGGAAGAATGGCATAAAACATAAACTCTGCAAGTTAGAGATTTATTTATTTCCTTGCAATCTATCTAAATCTAACACTCTTTGACTTCAATGCACTTGGGCCCCTCCCATTCTCCATCCCTCAAGCTGCCCAAGCTAACCTATATTCTGACTTCCAGCACCATTCACAGGCCTTACCTATTTTTCAACTTTACACAAATGGATTCATACTATATATTTATTACTCCCTTTTTACTTTGAAAAATTTCAAATCTACAGGAAAGTTGTAAAAATAGGATAAAAAAATTCATATATGATTCATCTACATTCATTCCTTGTTAGCATTTGGTTATACTTGCTTAATCTGTCTCTATCTTGATAAGAAAGAGAATATGACAAGAGGCTGAATCAGTAGAAAGTTATAGATCATGAACATGATATCTTATTTTTAAATCCTTGACCATCCATGCCTTCAGAATAAAGCCATTCTAAAATATAATCAAAATATTTCCATGTTTAAGAATACTGACAATAAATCAGTTATACCTAACAGCCAGTCTATATTTCATTCTCAACAATTATGCTACAGCACCATGCATATAAGGAGAATCTGAAGAGTGAGCACTACCAGGCCTGTCCTGAGTGTGTCCAGCTCCAGAACAGCTGCCCACTCTACAACCATGTCTCTGACCAAGACTGAGAGGGCCATCATCACGTCCATTTGGGACAAGATGTCCGTGCAGGCTGATGCCATTGGTACCGAGACTCTGGAGAGGCTCTTCTCCAGCTACCTGCAGACCAAGACCTACTTCCCCCACTTCAACCTGCATCCTGGGTCACCACAGCTGCATGCACATGGCTCAAAGGTGGTGGCCGCCTTGGGTGATGCTGTCAAGAACATCGACAACATGCAGGTTGCACTGACTAAGCTAAGCGACCTGCATGCCTATGTCCTGCACGTGGACCCCGTCAACTTCAAGTTCCTATCCCACTGTCTGCTGGTCACACTGGCCACCCACTTCCCCGCCGACTTCACGGCTGACGTCCATGCCGCCTGGGACAAGTTCATGTCCATCGTGTCTTCCATCCTGACCAAGAAGTACCGCTGAGCATTGTCACTGTACCCCTTCACCAGCTGCAACGCCTGTGCCCCCCTCATCCCTCTTCTTTTCCTTGTCAGAATCCCCAATAAATGGATGTGGCTGGAAAAAAAAAAAAATTATGCTACATTAGCCACTTTCCTGTCACTGGGGTAAATCTCCACCAATCACAACTTAAAGGATTTGGATCATAGTTGGTGCTGACTGGTTCCAAGTACATAGGAGAAAGCCCTGACAACAGAAAACTGCTCAACCCATGGCATCCAGGAAACAGAGTGAGAAAGGAAGCACTGGAAACAAGCACACAGCCCTTCAGATCACACCCCCCCAAGATTCACCTTTTCGGACAAGGGCTCACTTCCTAATATTACAGAAATCCATGGACCCAAGTGATCCAATTACTTTACGAAAGCCCACCTTGGAACACATGACCCAGGAGACATTTCAGATCTACACCACAGATACACAAAAACGATTGTATAAGCTTTGTTTCTAAATAGTATTCAAGAGCATTTGTTACATTTGGTTAACTATCTCTTTAGTATTTCTTTAGAGACTTAGCCCAAGATCCTTTTCTTACATGACATTTCTTTTCTGGAAAATCTGAACCAATTGTCTTTTAGGACATCCCACAGTCTGCATTTGTTTGCCTCTTTAAGATGAACTTGTACCTTGCTCACCTCTACTTCTCCTGTATTCTATCTAAAGGCTTGATGAATTAGGTTATATATTTAGGGCAAGAATACCTCATAGAGTTAAGCTTGATAGCCTAAATCGTTTGATAATAACAATAAGCTTGTCTTCTGGATGGTTAACAACCTAAGTTTGCAGACCAAAATTAGAGAAAAAGGAGGGCTACAAGGAAAGCCAACATTTTGGCCCTAGCCTTCTAAGGTCATTTAAGACTCAGGACATATGAGAACTTGTACTGTAACATCATGTACCTCGGTAGTGTCTCAAATTTTCTGATCAAGAAGATTATGGGGCCAAAGAGGAAAGTGATCGATGACATAGAGTGTGCCTAAGGAGAGTCACATGGGGAGAAGAAACTCTCTCACGCTTTCACAGAGAGCACATTGGCTAAGCAATGGCTGTGACTCATCCACATGGCTGCACTGAGAAAGGTTCTACAATCTGAGGTACAGGATCTCAGGATAAATCCTGAGGGCATTTCACTGACCTTCTCAGACCAAAAAGCTACAACTCTTGTTGCACAGGTCCTGCTTTACCTTGGTCTTAACCATCCAGCAGAAAAGTATGAAGACAAAATATAGGAAGTAAAGCCAGGCTGTTATGTTGAGCTGTGGGGGCTCAGGTCAATAATTTCTGACATTGCCAGTTAAACAGAAGACCCAATGCTATTATGGGCTACTGAACTCTTTTAGAGTATTTTGCTGAGTTTATACACCTATAATATTCAATAACAGAACTTAGAAAAAATGGGGTATACAGATGAATGTCTATTTTGTATCTGTGTATTCAAAGTGGTTAGGATGGATGTATAGTTACATTCTCTTAATGAATAGAATGATTTGTTCTAGTGGTGTTTGTAAATAGGAATCTCAAGTCCTCATCTTGTATAGCAATTAACCACTAAGAAGAATATATGCAGTGTGTTATTTGTTGAAACTGTACTTCCAATTTGATTTGAAACTGTCTCATTGCTGTTTATCAATAAAATTTTGAAAAAAAACAAGAATACCTCATAGATGGATACTCTACCTATATACTTATTCAATGCAGTACAATACCCATTCTTCTTGTTAAAAATCCCAGTTCTCACTAGGGGCATGCCCAGAAGGGCAAGGCTCATCTTCCTCCCTGGCTCCAATGACAAGGGCAGGTTCTCCCATCATGCCCTTCTGCCTTGGAGCCAGCTAACTGGAACAGCAACCACAAGCCAAACTCCTCCTCCTCCTCGTTTACATTATGGGCATTCTTTACATTGGGTATCCGTAAGGAAAACCATGACTATGACAGTCCCATCACCCCTCCCATGTGTGAGGTTACAGTAAGAACACGACTGGATAAGAGAAAGTCACTCACTCGCCAGACACTGAATCTGCCAGTGCCTTCATCTTGGCCTTGTCAGCCTTCAGAAATGTGAGAGATAAATCTTTGTTGTCCATAAAACACGCAGTGGAAGATATTCATTTACAGCAGCTCAGGTGGACTAAGGCAAAGGCAGAAAAGAATCTCTAATTCCATGAAAGAACAAATTATTTGGGAGGAGGAAGAGGATGATGATGGTGATGGTAACGGTGACAATGATTTAGAAAAAGGGCACTTTGCGAACTTATTTTTGCCATTGCCACTTATAAAAAAATACATCTGTCTGTGCATTTTATGTCTATCAGCATTTAAAAAACGGGTTGAAAAAGGGAAGTAAAATGAAGTTAGAGAATTAATAGGGAGGCAATGATAATTTCAGAGACAGTGGCTTTCAGATTTTTAGGCCACAACTTACAATGAAGTATGCATCAATATACATAAATGGAAATAATCACCTTGTAAAACATACTTGTCTTTAATCCCTGATACTTTTTAGCCTAGGCTATGTCATTAGAAAGAAGAAAAGAACCTGTGATTATGCCATAACATTTTCATAACCCTCAGTGGTTCATTACCTAGAGCTAAGAGATAAAATGCATTAGACAAACTAGCCTAAGTGGAGGAAGAAAGATTCAAAGTAATAGTAATAGAGAGTTACCGGTGATATTTTAACTTGCCAAGCCACTTTTCTCTTCCAGCTACGGCATCATCTATAGGTCAGCTGGAATTAAAAGACTTATATTTGAATTCTCACTTCCTCTTTCCAGGTGGCTAACCACAGGCACCTCCTTACTCTAGCTGGAATTGTTTCCTTCTACCCTGAAGCACTAATAATACCAACACATTCACAGAGGTTAGAAAGGAGGAGGAAATGGAAAGGCCCAACACAAAACAAGTAAATGCTACCTTAGGGTTCCGGGCAGAGAGCTCTACACACGGCGCAACCTCCCTTTAGCCTGAAGGAATGAGAAAAGAATGTGAGATTTCTCCATCATTTTGGAACTCAGCTCAGCACCATTACCCCTTCTGAGAGTTAGACAGTGCACAACAGTAGGCAAAGAACATCTCAGTGCAGATCTAAATCTCTCCGCATAGCGTGACTTTTGAATAAAGAAACAGTGGAAATTGGCACAATGATCAGCTCTGATCATATAAATTTTCTGCCATTAAAAACACTTAACTGAAAACCAGTTAAGACGGTTCAAGTTTGTGCTGGTTTATTCATCTAAGCGAATGTGTCTTGCTTATCATTTGTTTTAATTATTCCTGATGTGTTGCCTATCACATCAGAAGCTTCTTCAAAGGGAAAGGAATAAGCAGTTGTCATAACAACAAAGCTCTTCATTACCCTGGGAACCTTCGACAGCTTTATTTAAAATGAAGGAGAAAAAAGAACCCTAACCAATTAGCTTTATCAGTCTGATTCATGTTCTTCTTAAACTGATAACAGTGTTTCCTGAAGAACTTACAATTTGATGGGGAATGTGTCATGAATATTTATACTAACATAAAACTCAGAGAAAAACTGGCAAGCTAATTATCACTTGGAAGGTGTTTCTGGTCAAATTCCTGCCCAGTGATCCATTTGATTTCTTTAAAATGACTTTTATTAAACAAATCAAAGAATTAAAGAGACTTTTGCCAATATCTATCCGTTGGCTCAAAGAACAACAAGGAGACCTGTTTAGGTTTAAACTGGAAAGCCAAGGCTTCAGCCTTGCTAATTTCATTTGCGTTGACTTTTCATTCAGTTAAACCGGAAATATTCTCGCCTGTCCTCCACCCTTCCTTCTCTGTGCTGGAGATAGAGCGGAAGTCCCGAGATGATTTTAATTCTGCCCTTCTCGGCAGAATTAAAAAAGCAGATGTTTTCTTCTGGCTGCAAGAGATAAGACTGAGAAGTAATTATTGTCTTGGTCTCAAATCCCACAGGTGTTTTCATTCCTGCCCTGTGACCGGAGGAAGAATAAATAGTAAACCTGAGAGGGTCTACTTGGGGCACTCTTCAAGTTCAGACTTGAAGCCTGGTGTTTGACTATTTTCCGCAAGTGAAAAGCTATTCAGGAGTCAGCAAACTATTTCTAAAGAGCTAGATATTAAATATATTTTGACTTTGCGGGACATAGGATCTCTGTTGAAACAACTCAGCTCTGCCTCTGTTGAGTAAAGCAGGTGGAGACAAGATGCAAGCCAACAGTCCTGGCCAGATTGGGTCTGGCCTTAGTAGGGCAGACCTTCCAGAGCTTAAATAGCTTTCAGTACACAAACAACCACACAAGATCAACAAACAACAGTGAGCTCTAGAACAGCATGTTCACAAAAGGTTTGCGTGTACATTCTTTAAGTCTGAAATGAGGGTTACTCAAGAGGTAGGGATTCATTTTCTTATCTTCTAAGTGAGAAAAGTAGACTGGATGGGCTCAGGTAACTTCCAAGGTTTTCAAGACCAAATAGTTTATTTTTTTACTGTGTGTCAGGGAATCTGTCAATACCCTCACACCTGTTGAGTCCTCCTTAATACTAACCTAAGCATTAGACCAAGGTGAGTAACCAAAAAGCCAGAAAATTCTATGTTGCAGTCCCAGAGTCATTTTAGAAATTAGTCATAAATGGATTAAGATGTAATAGCCACAGGCACTGAATGTATTCATTATGCAAAGCAAACGTTAAACACAATTTTAAAAATCTCATCACTGAAAAAAGAAACAAATTGATCATATAGGCCTAGCTCACTATAACTTGTCTTCTCAAATTAAAACCAAAAGGACTTCAGTAATGTCTTGAGGGTGTATTAGGCACTCTTGTATAACTGAAACAAAATATGCAATGTGCACAATTAAAGAAGGAGAGGCTGGGCCAGTGAGATAGCTCAGTAGACTAAGCACCTGCTTAGGCAAGCATGGGGACCAGGGTTCCACCCTGGGCACCACATGCCGCACCTACGCCAGTCCCAAGAG